AGAAATACCAAGTTAATAATCACATTATTTGAAACAAAAACAAATTCCACCAGACTGAGTCTGCCTGTTGACAGGGATTTGTCTAACATACGCTTTTACTTTAGATTTATATTTTGACTAGGAATATCACTGTCAGCCACTTTTGGTGTTTAGTTATTACCGTATCACAGAATGATGGAGTTTGAACAGGACCTCCGGATCACTTGGTCCAACCTCCAGTTTACCAGGGCAATCTGGGGCAGACTTCCCAGGATCATGTTCAGAGGGAACATACTGTATTTCAGGTTGTGCCTGTTGCCTCTTGTCCTGCTATTGGTTACCACTGATAAAAGCCTGGCTCCCTCTTTGCAAACTCCCTCCAGCTATTTATATACATGCAGAAGATATTACCTGATCCTTTTCTTCTCCAGGCTGAACAGTCACAATTATCTCTGCCTTTCCTCATAAGAGAGATGTTCCAGTCCCTTCACCATCTTTATGTCCTTTCTTTGGACTCTTTTCAGCATCTCTGTTGCAGTTTGTATTGGGAAATTCAATATTGGACACAGGTGTGGCCTCACCAATGCTGAGTAAAGCTTTCTTGGTAGCAAGAGCACCTATCTAACTCATATTCACTTGTCCACCGGGACCAGTATGTACTAGTGCCTGGGGCTGTTCTACCTCAGGTCTATGAACACCTTGTTGAACTTCGAGATTCCTGCTAGACCATTTCTCCGGCCTGTCAAGGTTCCTCTAGATGGCACCATTGACCCTCTGGTGTATCCACTACTCCCAGGTTTGTGTCCTCTGCAAACCTGCTGAGTATATGCTCTCCACCATCTTCCAGACCAGAATTGCAGCCAATATTGTGCCCTGTGTTATAATATAGTTACTGCTCTCTAACTAGACTTTGTGACACAGATCACCATCCTCTGGGCCTGGCTGTTCATCCACCTCTGTTTCCTCATCCAGCCCATTTTTTAAAAATTAAGGAAATCTATAGATTTTAATAATTTTTGCCTTGGGCCACTCTGAATTTTCTTTTTCTGCTTGCTTGTCAGTAACTCTGAATAATTTGGCACATATTTTTACATCTCATAATATTTTTCAAATGTAATTCTGTGCTTCACAGAGACCTTACAGGAAAACCTGTGTTAACTAAACATTACAGGAATCTATTATTTGTAGAATGGGTTATAATATATCACCAAAGGAAATTTTTGGATACTCTTGTTTGTTTATTTGTTTCAAGAGAGATGTTCAATGCTGCAGCAAAGAATACCAGAATTTATTGTGGCTTCAAGATCTTCCATTTACATAACTTTTACACATTTACACATTTTTTATATAAATCCCCTGTTTTACAGATTTTGTTTTATGAGAGAGATCCCCATTAAAAATAAATAAATAAATCCATGTACTACAGTCCTCTCAAGACTTATTACCTCATATTTTTCTCTCTCATTATAGGTGATCAATCTTATTTTTCACAACAAAATTTTTCTGACTTTGGATTCTTCCCTAATGAAACATAGTTTTCATTAGGTGCAAAAGAAAAGAGTATCTGGCTATCAGAAGATCTAGCCAGTCAGTATTTAGATATCATTAAAAGGTTTCTGACTCAGCCAAGCTGATAATAACAATTTGATTGAATTACATACGGAAGAGCTGCTAAAGTATAATCTATTTAATAGTAGATTATTTCAAAACCAGACATTTGTTTTGGCAATATGCTTAAACATGGTAGAAATCTCAGTATTTCTCATAATACCTTACTTACAAATCATTGCTTTTATTATAATAATACTGGTTATTAATGTGTAATAAAGCATGTTATATACTTTATTACATTATCACTCTCAAAATCATGTAATCATAGAATCATAAAGGTTGAAAAAGACCTCAGAGATAATATGGTTCAACTGCCCCCCTACCACCAATATTACACACTAAACCATGTCCCTAAGTACAACATACAACCTTTCCTTAAACACCAACAGGGACAGTGACTCCACCACCTTCCTGGGCAACCTGTTCCAATTTCTACCTATTCTTTCTGAGAAGAAATTTCTCCTAATTTCCAACTGGATCCCCCCGGCACAAGTTGAGGCTATTTCCTCTAGTCCTATCACTAGTTACCTGTGAGAAGAGGCCAACTCCCAGCTCCCCACATCTTCCTTTGAGGCAGTAGTAGTGAGTAATAAGGTTTTCCCTGAGCCTCCTCTTCTCCAGACTAAACAACACCAGTTTCCTCAGCCACTCCTCGTAGGACTTTTGTTCCAGGCCCTTCACTGGCTTCGTAGCCCTTCTCTGGACACACTCCATGGCCTCAATGTCTTTCTTGTACCGAGGGGCCCAAAGCTGAACACAGAACTTGAGGTACCAGAGCTGACTACAGGGGGTCCTGGTCCTGCTGGCCACATTATGCCTGACACAAGCCAGGATGCCATTGGCCTTCTTGGCCACCTGGGTACACTGCCAGCTCACGTTCAGGTGAGCATCAAGCAACACCTCCAGATCCCTTTCCTCTGCATAACCACTCTGCCCCAAGTCTGTAGCATTGTATGGGGTTGTTGTGGCCAAAATGCAAGACCTGGCACTTAGCCATGTTGAACCTCATCCCATTGGCCTCTGCCCATTAATCCAGCCTGTCCAGAACCCTCTGCAAATATTGAATGGTTGTAAACACAGCTGAGTACTTGCATGTCCACTTCTAGATCTACCATATTTCTAGAATGTTAACAGATTTTTACATTTCTGTGTGATTTTATTATAACTGTATTGTTAAAAAAAATGGGAACATATTCAGATATGTTTTGTGGGTCAAAGTACATGATTGCACTTCAGACATTAAGTTTCTTGAAGAAAGAGATTTTGCAAATTAATTGTAAATATTAAAGCAGCAACTAGAATGAGCTGTACACTAATTGTAAGGTATGCTCAGACTTGGAAACCTCAGAGCAAAAAGTCATTCATGTTTTCTTTCTGACATGCAGTCTGCCTTCAACATCCTCCACATCTCTATCACCCCACCCCCAATCCTTATTTCTAATATGTTAAGTAAGGCCAGTAAATCAGCAAGGAATCTTGCTATCAACACTCCTATCTATAAAAAACCTTTCATATAGGAGAAATCCTGTCAGAACTTTTTTCTCCCTCTTTTCTCCTCTCTACTTTGTAAATTTGCTGGAGTGTTTTGGGTAGATCAGACAGATCTCTGTAAACTCAGACTAGAAGAAATGTGATGGGTACACTAGACATGATTTGAACCAGTAAAGTGTACTTTGTTTAAACACCTTGCTTTCAGCAGTAGATATCAACATATGAGTATATTAACAGAAATATCTAATTACATTTATTATCATATCTATCTGCTGATCTATAAAACTGAATAAACTGAATAACAATTAATACTAATTGCCTATTCAATTATATTTGCAGTCCCTTAAGTTAATGAGTATTTAGTCAAGACTTATATTGTGCCACTGTAAGAGGAAAACTGGGAAATAAAAAAAAAAAGCAGCAGCCTGGTTATAACAAGACAGTTTTAAAATGTGATTTTAAAACTCTGCTTTTGACAGCATATCCTCATTGCTCAGGCTAAAATTGCTGTTCTTGCTCATAAGACACTAGACTTTGTTTTTCATGATATTATTTGCTTATAATTGTTACTGTACAAACTAAACAATGGTTAAAGGGGAACAGCCGGTTTTGCTGTATTGGTTTGGTTTTACTCCAGTTGATTTCCAACTGTCAGACTCATTGTTTTTATACCTTTGGATACATTGAGTCAATCCTGAAGCAATAAGATGAGTTCCATGATTATATTGTATAGCTCAAATTCGACCTTGATTTTCTTTTTGTGCAGTCCTTTTGAGGCCTGGGTGGAATGTGGCCCAGGAGAAGCTTGATGCAGAGTGTTTACTTGTAGATGTGTAACATTGTTTTCAGAAGACCAGATCCTGCCAAATTTCAAGAAAGAAAGAAAGAAAGAAAGAAAGAAAGAAAGAAAGAAAGAAAGAAAGAAAGAAAGAAAGAAAGAAAGAAAGAAAAAAAGACAGACGACAGTGGGTTTCTTTTTTGTTCTCTTTCCCATGAAGATGGGAAAAATAACACAGAATTTTCATGTTAAATAGCATAATAGTGCAAGAGATTAAAACAAACAAACAAACAAAAAAACAAACAGACAAAACAGACAAGACTAGTCTATTTTGAGGAGATAATTGAAATAATTTAGCCCCTTTCACATTTCTGGCAATATAGTCAAACTGCAGCAAAATTTTACAAAATGTTGGTTTGTCTATGGATAGCTGTTTATTGAACCATAGATCCATGACCAAACTCATTTCATATAAGTGTTATATCTGGCTATAAAAGCAAAATACAAAGGATCTCAGACAATAAATATTATCATGTTTATCTTATTAAAAATAACACATGTATTAGACTTATTACCTTGTTAACACAATAAATTCCATGGTAAATTCTTATGATATGTATTCCTGGAATACCAAATTGATTCCTCTGAGAAAGAAAGAAACTCCTTATTTTTGGTAGATATGATATTCATAACCACAGAATGAAATTGTGTTCCAATAATGCTGTTAAATAAGGGTTTCTGAATGGATTTGTAAATATATCTTTTTCATTAGACTGATATTTCTAATTTAACTGATGTTAAAATATCATGGGTAGCTGTGTGATGTTCTTGCTTTCTAGTGTGTACAGATTTTGTTTTTTAATTCATTCTTCTGAAAGAGAGTGAGACAGGGAAAATTGTGACAACATTTTTAAAGCAGGATTCCATAATAGAAAAATATAATAACTTTGCATGATATTACCACCACTTTCTGCATTAATAATTAGTGTGTTGTCATAGCTTTTTAAGTCTGTTGCAAGAAACAAGTCACATTCCAAAGAAATAAATGTATAATTATATCACTGAAGTGTCCAGTTTTAATGCATTGACATTATACACAAGATATTGAACAAAACTAATTTTCTCTTTCTCAATTTTCAAGATCCCGATTTTAAGGACCTTGGAGTTTTGAAACCATTGCCAGGTTGGTATATTGGTTCTTCCTAAGACTTGGAAGCCTTTGCATTCTGCTGTAGAAAATATTTTTGTTTGCTGTTCAGGATTCATTCTTCTGGTATTTTGTTATTTAGTTTGTGAGTTTGAGATGGGAGGACCTGAAGGAATTGTGGAATCTATACAAATTGTCAAAGAAGGAAAAGCTTCTGAAACTGAAGCAGTAGACTGTAAATGGTACATCAGAGCACCACCCAGATCCAAGGTCAGTCCTTTGTCCACTTGCTGATTTTCCACTTAATTTAAGAAATTGACTTTTCTAATATGCTGTGCATTTCTTAGTACAGACAGCTCTTGTTTAATAACTTTACAGCTTGAACTTACAAACTGTTTTTTCCTTCTGCTGTTGAAAGGTAATTTTTCACCTCAATCAAAACAACCTTCTTTCTCTATAAATAATGATGTGGGCAGCATTAATGTGCTTTTTGTGCCATAAGTAATTTTCTTAAATTCATCTTTAATTTTGCTCATATGTTTAAAGAATTGGTGTGTTTAGTTAAGTGGGAGGTGATCTTATCTAACACAGAGACTATTAATAGAAAACTGCTGGGTCCCTAAGATCATTACTGTTTCTCATCTTGGAATGGTGAAAATGGAGTCAAGGTAAATTAAAGTTACTATGTACAAGGTCTTTAGTTCCTTTGTTTTAGAACCACTGACAAAAAGAGATAGTGCTCTCATTTCTCTCTCACCATAATCAGCAAAACAGGTCTTTGTAACACACAGGACAGTGCTGCAATGAATTTAATGATTTTTTATTTTTTATTTTTAATTTTGCTTGAGTTCGTCTCTTATCAGTTATTATTTGGATTAATTGTTGCTGGCTATACTACTGTTTCTCCTCTCTGCAATTGGAACATCTCTGTGCTCCCACCTACTTTCATTTAGACTGCGAAAGAGAACTCCCCAGTATATTTTTACTATCTGTTTTTTATTGTACTAGAAAAGGTTTACAAGGTATAATTTTTATATCCAATAATCTCTGGATCTTTAAACAGGTATGGTTTTTGTGTGTAATCCCAGAGCAGACTGTATGGAATACATTACACTGTTCCAGCACTGAATATTGAATAAGCAAGATGAAGGGTTTCCAGTAGAGAAAAATGCATTAGTATCAAAATTTTTTCTATTGTGTAAGTTTAGGTGTTGAACAGTTGGCTCATAAGACTACAGATAAATTATTTCCAGAATATGTTTTAGTCTCATATTTTTTACTTTTTGGAAAATTGAATATTCATAAATGTTTCCAATTAAGTAGATGAAGTTTCCAGAATATACATGTGAAATGACTGGACTAATTTATCATTATTACACATTATATACTTAGATATTAGTTGGTAAGAAAACTGATAAACACACTATTAAAATATAGATTCAGCACAATTAAATAAGCTAATAAAATTGCCCTACAGTTTTAATTCTACTGTATTCTTAGTTGGTCAGATAATGTCATCATGACATTCTTATTTGATCTAACTTTAAAGTGCCACATGATTTAAAGTCTTCCTAGAAATGTCATATTTATTTATCTGTAGGATTTATCCACAATTTAGTCCTGATATAAAAAAACAATATATGTAGCCATGTAACTGTAACCATAGTGTGTAACAGAAGTATGCCACACTACCACTGTCAATAGAGGGTTAGTTCTTTGTGAATAGGTTAGTCTGTGAATTTTTATACTTGGATTTAGCTGTACTTCATCTCAAAAAGCATAGACTAGCAAAAGAGTATATGGAAGGGAAAGCAATGAGAAAATTCTAAAAGGCATGAGGAGAGATCAAAAGTTTTTAAATATCGCATTAAGATTCTAGTGAAGGAGAGTGTTATGAGACAGTATCTAAAAAGTTTTAATAACAAGGAAGGGCTGCTCCGATGTCCATGGCTCAGACAAGTCATGGTTCTGCATTGGAAAAAGATTGATTCTGGTTAAATGTTAGGGAAAAAAATTATGGAGTGGATTATAAATGATTGGTTAAGGAGGTTTGTTCAGCCAGCATGGCTAACATTGTTAAAGGGGAGATAAAGTGAATAAATAAAGATAAATAAATAACTAAATAGTAGACAAACATTACTAATCTTACCTTTAGAAAGAGGGGTGGTCTGGGTCATCTCCTGAAGAATCTTCTTGTTCCCGTCTTACAGAATTCTCTGGGTAAAGACATTAAACAATATAACAGCACATAAATCAGCTTTTCCGAACATGTAAATGAAAGCTTTTTTGGTAAGGTAGGAAAAGCCAATTTTGAAGCCTTGATTCAATTTGAAGGACAACTAATTTAGCATTTGAACTTTATTAGTCTGTTTTTCATATACATATATATATATATATATATGTTTATATACACAAACACATGTATGTCCATGGTATTTCCACACTGGGAATGTTTGAAAAATATTCAAGTATTAGGGAACAAATGAATGGATAATTTTTGAAAAAATCATGTAAGAAGTAAGATCTATGTTAATATTGTTTATAGGTCTGAATTCTGTTGTCCATATTTTACAGTCTGCTTCCTCTGTGGTTATCTACCCTTGAATTAATGACATATTCAGTACAATGTCAGTGACTTCATTCTAATTTATAGCAGTATCCACCTATGAAAACAGGCTTTCCAGCTAAGAACAGTAAGAACTCATCAACTGTCTTTATATCTACATGCTCCTGTACTCTGAGCTGTACTGTTTGTTACTGGGAACTATGCCTAAAAGGTCAGTGTTTCTCAGACAGAATTTGGGTTGGATCCTTACATTTTAGTTTCTTAAACTGTGCCAGAGTGTGAGCTGTTTGCAATTTCATTTGGCTTAAGCTCATCCAATCTAAACTGTCTGCAGAAGGAAGATATAAGTCCCTTCCATGGTTTACAGTTTCAGATTCAAGCCAAGTCTGAGCTCAACATGTATGCAATGAGATCAGTCTGGGTGTAGGAATTTGAGAGCTCTAAGCCTGAACTTCAGCCTGACGGTCTGGGTGTAACATTGCTGCTACTCTTAGCAAGCTAGAATGGGACAGAGAATGGTACATTTCTTGCACATGCTTAAAATACTGAGTCATCACAGATCACCTTGTAGCACAAAAATTAAAATGCTGAAAATGCATGCAGAATGGAAACTTTCTCTAAGTGTAGAAGAAAGCAGAAGGCAGCTTAAACAGAACTTCAATTTTTATGCAGACTTGCAGCCTTATGTTTGATAGAGATGGGTTGCAAAATGTGTGATTAATGCATTCATTTGAAGTCAATTCCTGCTGAGTAAGATAACTGTGAACCTGGAGTTCAGAAATACTGGGGGTTCTGTATTACATGTAGAAGTAGATTTCAATCAATAAAGAACAAGACTGGCAAATAAAGAAGAGAGATGCTGATTGAATGTGGCAACCTACTCAGAACAATAAAGAGGTAAAAGAACCTCTCCATTCCAAGATACTTGGCCCTTCACTGCAAAACAAATGCCAAAAGAGAAATTAGGTAAGTTTATTGCACTGGGATTTCAAAAACTTTGGAATCATCTTTGGCTACAGCTGTGGATAAACAAAGAATCCTTTATTTGTGAATAGAAAATTAGAAATAAAAAATAATGATGGGAAGCAATGTCAAGGCATATGCAAGACAAAGAGGTGATCTGAGACAGCCAGAATGGCTTCACCAAGGGCAGATTGTGCCTGACCGATTTGGTGACCTTCTATGACGGAGTGACTGTATCAGTTGACAAGGGAAGACCGACCAACATCATCTACCTGGACTTCTGTAAGGCCTTGTCATGGTCCTACATGACATCCTGATCTCCAAATTGAAGAGACATGGATTGACGGGTGGATAAAGAGTTGGCATGAAGATTGCACCCAGAGAGTGGGGGTCAATGGCTCTATGTCCACGTGGAGGCTGGTGATGAGTGGTGTCCTTCAGGCATCTCTCCTGGGACTGGTACAGTTTAAAATCTTTATCAATGACATAGGCAGTGGGATTGAGTGCATCCTCAGCAAGTTTGCAGATGACACCAAACTGAGTGGTGCAGTTGATACAACAGAAGGAAGGGATGCCATCCAAAGGGAACTAGAGAAGCTTGAGAAGTGGGCACCCATGAACCTACTGAGGTTCAATAAGTCTAAGTGCAAGGTTCTGCACCTGGATCAGGTGCATGAGTACAGACTGGGAGAAGAACTCATTGAGCTCATGTCAGCTCTGCAGAGAAGGACTTCGGGGTTCTGGAAAAGCTTGACATGAGCCAGCAGTGCGCACTTGAAGCCCAGAAGGCCAACCGCATCCTGGGCTGCATCAAAAGGCAAGTGGCTAGCAGGTCAAGGAAGGTGATTGTCCCCCTCTACTCAGCCCTTGTGAGGCCCCACTTGGAGTACTGCATCCAAGTCTGAGGCCCCCAGCACAAGAAGGATGTTAACCTGTTAGCGCGGGTCCAGAGGAGGACCACAAAGGCTCTCAAAGGGCTCGAGCACCTCTCCTACAAAGAACATCTGAGAGAGATGGTGCTTTTCAGCCTAAAGAAGAGAAGGCTCTGGTGTGACCTTATTTCAACTTTTCAGTTCTTAAAGGGGTCATAAAAAAGATGAAGAGCAACTTTTTGCTCAATCAGATAATGACAGGACAAGAGGGAATGGTTTTAAGCTAAAAGATGAGAGATTTTTCTTAGATGTTAGGAGGAAATTCTTCACTCAGAGGGTGGTGAGGCAGTGGAACAGGTTTCCCAGAGAGGTTGTGGATTCCCCACCCCTGGAAGTGTTCAAGACCAGGTTGGGTGAGGCCCTGGGCAACCTGATCTAGTGGGTGGCATTCTTGTCCATGGCAGAGAGGTTGGAACTAGATGATCTTCAAGGGCCCTTCTAACCCAAGCCATTCTATGACTTTATGACTCTATGAATTTCTTACTTTCTGTTTGGGGTGAAAAGGTAGAGGAAAAGATTGTCAGGAAACATTTTTCTATTTTGGATACATCAGCAGAGTTTGACAAAGCCCAAATAGAAAGAAAATGTATGTTTGTGATGATGTGGTGCTCCTTTTGGTGGTAACTTCCCCAGCAAACTACCATCATATTGTGCTTAGTCCTTGAGTGGTTTTGTAGGGGAAAAACCTAACCAACCAACAAACCAACCAAACAAGAAACAATAAATAGTAGATTTTGATGGTAAAAGTAATAAAATATTTACAAATATGATGTTCCGGTTCTGACACAAAACTATAAGAAGTGTTCATA